CTCCCCTGGAGCCTCCCGATCCCTCTCCCTGGGACCAGCTCCCTCGCCCCAGATCGCCTCCGCAGGGCCTCAAAGCCCCGGACATCGGGGGACCCCGCAGCCCGAAGTCGGAAAGCAACAGCCTCGCCGTCGCCGCCGTCGTCGCCGTCGCCGTCGCCGTCGCCGCCGTCGCCGTCGCCGTCGCCGTCGCCGTCGCCGTCGCCGTCGTCGCCGTCGCCGTCGCCGTCGCCGTCGCCGTCGCCGTCGCCGTCGCCGTCGCCGTCGCCGTCGCCGTCGCCGCCGCCGCCGTCGTCGTCGTCGTCGTCGTCGTCGTCGTCGTCGTCGTCGTCGTCGTCGTCGTCGTCGTCGTCGTAGTCGACGTCGTCCTAGACAAGATCACGGCGTCTGAGGTCTTGGCGCTCCCTGTCGCAGGGGCCTCTCTGGGGTCCTCTCGGGCCCCCTCGCCTGCAACCCTCGATTCCCCTCTGCGCCGGCGCCCCCCCCCCCCCCCCCCCGCTGTGGATAAAATCCCGGAAGGAATTCGCCAGATGGGGGTGAGGAAGAGGAGGAGGAGGAGGAGGAGGAGTGAGGAAGAGGAGGACGAGGAGGAGGAGGAGGAAGAGGAGGAGGAGGAGGAGGAGGAGGAGAAGGACGCGGAGGAGCGGGAGGAGGGGGGACGAGGGCAACTCCGCTCCAATCGGGCAGGTGGTCATGGAGGGTGGCCCAATCGGGGGGCGAAGAGAGGGACCCTCAAAAGGCCCTCTCTTCACCTCCGATTTGGGTCACCCCCATTGCCACCCGCCCTCTCCAACTCGGTCCCCAGACCCCCGCCCGGGGTCGAGACCGACGAGATCCTCGAGCCGCGTCCAGCCGCGGCGACGAGGGGGCCATTCGTCAAGATGGCGGGGCGCGTCCTGACGTCGTTCGTGGGGAGGAGGAGGGGGAGGAGGAGGAGGAGGAGGAGGAGGAGGAGGAGGAGTGAGGAGGAGGAGGACGGAGGCGGAGGAAGGAGGAGGAGGAGGTGGAGAGGAGGGGGGGGAGTGGGGAGGAGGGGGAGGGGGGGGAGGGGGAGGAGGAGCAGTTGCAGGAGCAAGGTGCAGAGGAGCAAGGAGGAGCAGGAGGAGGAGTAGGGAGGAGGTGGTGGAGGTGAGGTGGAGGAGGAGGAGGAGGAGGAGGAGGAGGGAGGAGCTAGGTAGGAGGAGGAGGAGGAGGAGGAGGAGGAGGAGGTGCAGGAGCAGTAGCTAGGTGGCCGGAGGAGCTGGGGTAGGAGCAGGTTGAGGAGTGAGGAGGAAGGAGGAGGAGGAGAGGAGGAGGAGGAGGAGGAGGATTTTTTGGCCGCAACAGGCCGCTTCACCTCCAAACATGAAAACGCAGGCCACAGAGGGAAAAGCCTGCGAATGGTCCAAAGGGCCACGAGGATTGAACAGGTGGAGTAAGGGAACACTCTACTCACAAAGACCTGCTCAGTCCGAGCCGTCACTCTTCTCTCCGACCCGAGGCAGGAGCTGTGTGTCCTCTTCGCGATTGGCAGCCACCTCCTGGGCCAGGGCGGCCTGGGGTGCTGCACTGGAGAAAACTCCGCTGGCGTTGCGGCGGGGCGGAGCGACGACAATCGACGCTGCTCTTCCCGCCATCATCCCCTCTTGGGGAAGGAGGAGGAAGAAGAGGAGAAGGAGGAGGAGGAGGAGGAGGAGGAGGAGGAGGAGGAGGAAGAGGGGGAGGGGGAGGAGGAGGAAGACGAGGAGGAGGAGGAAAAGACAAAAAGGAGGGGGAAAAGACAAAAAGGGAGGGGCGGAGGGGGCGCGCTGGCAGCGTGGGCGGGGGGGGGAAAGCTGGAGGGTTGCGCGCAGGGTCTATCGGGGGGTGCCACTGTCGAATAAAAGGTCGGGGCGGAGGGGGTGAGCGCTGGCTGGCGGTGGGGGGGATCCGGATGGGGACGTGGCGAGCGGATTGAGGGGATGCGGAGAGGGGCGTATGGGATGGGTGAGGCCGTGCGAATGACAGAACTCGTTGGCGGACGGGGCATTGTAGCTGGCGGGTGGGGGGATGCGGAGGGGTTGCGGCGGGTTTGGGGGTGCGCCGTGCGATAAAATGGTCGGGGCGGAGGGGGCGCGCTGGGCTGGGGGTTGGGGGGGTGCGGGGGGGGGCGCGTTTTGGGATGGGGGTTGCGCCGTGCGAAATAAAAAGGGTCGGGGCGGAAGGGGCGCGCTGTATGGCGGGTGGGGGGATGCGGTGGGTGATTGATTTTATATTTTTTGTTTTTATTTGGGCGGTTCGGGTATGGGGGGTGCCGTGGCCGAAATAAAAATGGCGGGTGGGCGGGGGGGTGGTGGTGGTCTGGGTGGGGGGAAGGGCAGTGCCGAGGAAGGGTCGGGCGGGAGGTGGGGGGGGGGGGGGGGGGGGGGGCGGCTGCTGGCTGGTGGGTGGGGGGGATGCGGAGGGGGCGCGTGGGATGGTGGGGTGGCGTGCCGAAATAAAAGGGTCGGGGCGGAGGGGGCGCGCTGGCTGGGAGGTGGGGGGA